ATATAATATTTTGATGTACACGAGTCTCCAACAGCCGTTCCCTGATGATGCGACCTCGACGACCTGGAGCATTGTCATCCTTGAAGATGAAATCAGGCCTGTGTTGTTCATGTAGGGGCACAACCACTGGATTAATGATGTTATTCAGGTAGTATGAGCTTGTCACTGTACCATTCACTAAGTGTAGGACAGTTCTGTACCGAATGGACACACCTGCCCACACTGTAACACCTCCACCACCAAAAGCTGGTCCGGTGACAACAGTGGCTGATGAATAGCGCTCTCCTTGATGTCTCAAACATCGCTGACCAACATCATTTCTGCTCAACATGAATCTACTTTCATCAGAGAACAGCACTGAGGCCCACTGGTCCTTCGTCCAGAGTGAATGCTCCCTGGCCCATGCAAGACGATGACACCTGTGTCTGGTGGTGTGGTCAGGTACCTTACAGGTTGTCTAGCACGCAGACCATGCTGATGTAACTGTTTTGAATGGTCTGACGTGACACTTGGGTGCCTCTCACCTCCCTTAACCGTGCCTGGAGTTGAGTGGCATTCATCATCCGGTATCTCAGGGCATTGTTCACAATGTAACGGTCATCAGCATGGGATGTGGTCAAAGGACGTCCACTTCTACACCTTTCTGTGACTCCTCCAGTCTCTGTTTCTGTTGCAACCTGCTGTTGACTCTGTGACACTCTAAGCTCAGTGGCCACATCCGTCTGAGAACGTCCTGTTTGAAGCCTCCCAATGGCAAGGTACTGTTGATCCATTGTTAGGCGTCGTCTTGGTCTCATGATGTCAAAATGTGAACAGCATGATGAGGACGACTGTTTAAACACCAGCTCAAATTGAACCAGGACATTTATTGGTCGATTCAAGGATCAAACACCTGCTGTGAATTTTGCCGTTAAGCTCCTCGTTAGAAAACAGCAACTTGTGCAAAAAGCACTGAAAGCTTTAACAGTTGGATAGATGCATTCAAAAGCTTAGAGAAGGTCACATTAAGTTCACCTGCAAAGGTTTAAATGCATTTTAGGCTCGTCCTGAAATTTAACCCAAAAGCCAAATATCCCCAACTTTTTGTGAGTATTGTATATACAACACCTGAAATTCAGGTTAGACAAAAACAACACCTGTACCTAAGATGAGGACCACACCTGGTCTTCAGGTAAGATGAGGACCACACCTGGTCTTCAGGTAAGATGAGGACCACACCTGGTCTTCAGGTAAGATGAGGACCACACCTGGACTTCAGGTAAGATGAGGACAACACCTGGACTTCAGGTAAGATGAGGATCACACCTGGACTTCAGGTAAGATGAGGACAACACCTGGACTTCAGGTAAGATGAGGATCACACCTGGACTTCAGGTAAGATGAGGATCACACCTGGACTTCAGGTAAGATGAGGATCACACCTGGACTTCAGGTAAGATGAGGACAACACCTGGACTTCAGGTAAGATGAGGACCACACCTGGACTTCAATTAGATGAGGACCACACCTGGACTTCAGGTAAGATGAGGACCACAACTGGACTTCAGGTAAGATGAGGACCACACCTGTACCTGAGGTAAGATGAGGACAACACCTGGACTTCAGGTGAGATGAGGACCACACCTGGACTTCAGGTATGAGGACAACCCTTGGACTTTAGGTAAGATGAGGACCGCACCTGGACTTCAGGTAAGATGAGGACCACACCTGTACCTTAGGTAAGTTGAGGACCACACCTGGACTTGGGGTAAGATGAGGACCACACCTTTACCTGAGGTAAGATGAGGACAACACCTGGACTTCAGGTAAGATGAGGACCACACCTGGACTTCAGGTATGAGGACAACACTTGGACTTTAGGTAAGATGAGGACCACACCTGTACCTTAGGTAAGTTGAGGACCACACCTGGACTTCAGGTAAGATGAGGACCACACCTTTACCTGAGGTAAGATGAGGACAACACCTGGACTTCAGGTAAGATGAGGACCACACCTGGACTTCAGGTAAGACGAGGACCACACCTGCACTTCAGGTAAGATGAGGAGCACACCTGGACTTCAGGTAAGATGAGGAGCACACCTGGACTTCAGGTAAGATGAGGACCACACCTGTACCTTAGGTAAGTTGAGGACAACACCTGGACTTCAGGTAAGATGAGGACCACATCTGGACTTCAGGTAAGATGAGGACCACATCTGGACTTCGGGTAAGATGAGGACCACACCTTGACTTCAGATAAGACGAGGAGCACACCTGGACTTCAGGTAAGATGAGGACCATACCTTGACTTCAGGTAAGACGAGGATCACACCTGGACCTCAGCCTGTACCTCAGGTAAGACGAGGACCACACCTGGACCTCAGAACATTTTATTAAAACCTCAAACTTTCACTTTATATCAAATGGTTGTTATGAACGATGATGAAGCTCCGCCCACACCTTCATGTAAAGCTGGACTCTGATTGGTTGAACACATTCTTTATTACTGACAAAACAGTTTATAAAAAACAACATTTTTACAGCCGACAGAAACACGAAGCTTTTTGTTTTTAACAATAGAAAAACTAAACTAACGTTTCTAATGTCCAACAAGGCCCAGTTCCTGCAGGACACATGAATGTCCAACCAGGTCAGGTTCCTGCGGGACACATGAATGTCCAACAAGGTCCGGTTCCTGCAGGACAGATGAATGTCCAACAAGGCCCGGTTCCTGCGGGACACATGAATGTCCAACAAGGTCAGGTTCCTGCGGGACACATGAATGTCCAACAAGGTCAGGTTCCTGCAGGACACATGAATGTCCAACAAGGTCAGGTTCCTGCAGGACACATTGAGGTCTATCAAGGACCGGTTCCTACAGGACACATGAATGTCCAACAAGGCCCAGTTCCTGCAGGACACATGAATGTCCAACAAGGCCCAGTTCCTGCAGGACACATGAATGTCCAACAAGGCCCAGTTCCTGCAGGACACATGAATGTCCAACAAGGTCCGGTTCCTGCGGGACACATGAATGTCCAACAAGGCCCGGTTCCTGCAGGACACATGAATGTCCAACAAGGCCCGGTTCCTGCAGGACACATGAATATCCAACAAGGCCCAGTTCCTGCAGGACACATGAATGTCCAACAAGGTCCGGTTCCTGCAGGACACATGAATGTCCAACAAGGTCCGGTTCCTGCAGGACACATGAATGTCCAACAAGGCCCGGTTCCTGCAGGACACATGAATGTCCAACAAGGCCCAGTTCCTGCAGGACACATGAATGTCCAACAAGGTCCGGTTCCTGCAGGACACATGAATGTCCAACAAGGTCAGGTTCCTGCAGGACACATTGAGGTCCATCAAGGCCCAGTTCCTGCAGGACACATGAAAGTCCAACAAGGTCCAGTTCCTGCAGGACACATGAATGTCCAACAAGGTCCGGTTCCTACAGGACACATTGAGGTCCATCAAGGACCGGTTCCTACAGGACACATGGTCCAACCAAGTCCGGTTCCTGCAAGACATATGGTCCAACCAGGTCCGGTTCCTGCAGGACACATGGTCCAAAAAATGTCTGGTTCTTGCAGGACACATGGAGATCCAACAAGGTCCGGTTCCTGCAAGACACATGGTCCAACCAGGTCTGGTTCCTGCAGGACACATGGTCTAACAAGGTCCGGTTCCTACAGGACACCTGGAAGTCCAACAAGGTCCGGTTCCTACAGGACACATGGTCCAACAAGGTTCAGTTCCTACAGGACACATGGTCCAACAAGGTTCAGTTCCTACAGGACACATGGTCCAACAAGGTCCGGTTCCTACAGGACATATGGTCCAACAAGGTCCGGTTCCTACAGGACATGTGGTCAATCAAGGTCCGGTTAATACAGGACAGATGGTCCAACAAGGTCCGGTTCCTACAGGACATATGGAAGTCCAACAAGGTCCGGTTCCTGCAGGACACATGGAAGTCCAACAAGGTCCGGTTCCTGCAGGACACATGGAAGTCCAACAAGGTCCGGTTCCTGCAGGACACATGGAAGTCCAACAAGTTCCGGTTCCTGCAGGACACATGGAGGTCCAACAGGTCCGGTTCCTGCAGGACACATGGAGGTCCAACAAGGTCCGGTTCCTGCAGGACACATGAATGTCCAACAAGTTCCGGTTCCTACAGGACACATGGAAGTCCAACAAGGTCCGGTTCCTACAGGACACATGGTCCAACAAGGTCTGGTTCCTGCAGGACACATGGAAGTCCAACAAGGTCCGGTTCCTACAGGACTCATGGTCCAACATGGTCCGGTTCCTACAGGACACATGGAAGTCCAACAAGGTCCAGTTCCTACAGGACACATGGTCCAACAAGGTCTGGTTCCTGCAGGACACATGGTCCAACAAGGTCTGGTTCCTGCAGGACACATGGTCCAACCAGGACCAGCTGCAGTTCTTCAGTCAGACACTAGTTGGAGCTGCAATGAAACAAAAACTGATTTATGTAAAAACAACAGCTGATTTAAAAGTCTCATCGAAGGTTCTGGTCCACTGTCCACTCAAACAGAACCAAACCACCAGGACAGGACAGTTCTACGTGGACAATATCCACAGTCCTGTAGTGTCAGTAAACCATGAGGTCCTAACATTCAAACACGTCTCTGCAGGAACAGATTCAGCTCTTGTCCCTCCTGTCCTCCTTGTCCTCCTCGTCTTCATTGTCCCTCCTGTCCTCCTTGTCCTCCTCGTCTTCATTGTCCCTCCTGTCCTCCTTGTCCTCCTCGTCTTCATTGTCCCTCTTGTCGTCCTCGTCTTCATTGTCCCTCTTGTCGTCCTCGTCTTCATTGTCCCTCCTGTCCTCCTCGACCTCAGCCCTGACACTTTGGGTCTGAGTCTTGACCGTTAGCTTCCACTCGTCCCCCAGTTCTTTTCCGATCACAATCCTGGTCTCTCTCCTCTCTTTGCTCACGTCCTCCCTGTCCTCCTCTGTCTCCTCCCTGTCCTCCTCACTGTCCTCCTGTCTTGTCTCGGTCTCTTCTCTCCTGTCCTCTCTGTCTTTCAGCATCACTGCTTTCTGTTTTTCTTTTAGTTTTTCTTCCTGTCCATTCTTGTCCTCTGTGTCCATCATGTCCTGTCCTTCCACATGCATCCCTTCATCTTTAGTGTCCTGTTCTTCACATGTCTCCTGGTCCTCTGTGTCCTCCAACTCTTGGAGCTCAGAGGACTTGGTCTCTGCTGCTTCAGGGCCCAGGAGGATCTGAGTCAAAGTCTTAAGGAGCTCTGCCTGAGCGTCCTCTGGTTTCTGTTCTGTTTTGTCCTCAGAGTCCAGTCTGGGGACCGGCAGTAGACCCGTCAGGTGGAAGGACTGCTTCCAGACTTGTGGGAGCTTGTTCAGGTGAGTCAGAGCTTCTGCCACCCAGTCCAGGAGCTGCCGGGTCACGTTGGTCTGGAGCTGGACCGGGTCTGTCTCGTCCAGCTCAGGGGGGTTCCTGGAGGTGAATTGGGACCAGCGGACCAGCAGGAAGCGCTGCAGGACCGGCTTCAGGCAGACCTGCAGGGGCTGCAGACACCAGGAGCAGCCTCCGGGGATCACAGCTGGAAGGCAGCTGGACCCGCTTAGGAAACCCAGGAACTGGTCTCCCAGGTGCTCCCGGTGCCGGTCCAGGACCAGCATGGACTTAGAGGGCAGAGCCGGACCCGACAGGTGCTGCAGCCAAACCTTTTTGGTCCAGAGCTCCAGGTTGTCCTCGATGCACAGGCCCACAGGACAGACCTGCAGTGAGACAGAGTCTGGCAGGACCTGGTCCGGCAGCTGCAGGGACGTCAGGGCCAGGGACGGCAACATGGTCCCATCTGCCAGGACCACCAGGTAGACCGTCACCAGAGGGGAGGACCCCATGAGTTCCAGGGCGTCTGAGCGGGAAGACTTGTCCTGAACCAGCTTCATGTCCACAAAGAGACACAGCTCGTCCATGGCGGCCACGTGGCTCCGCGGCAGCCGGTGGACATGGAAGACTCTGTGGGTAAAGTCTCTAAAGGACTGGACCTTGGCCTCCAGGGATGAGGGCAGGACGCGGGTGAGGGCGGGGTCCCTGCGTACCCCCAGCTTGTGCTGCAGCAGGAAGCTGACGGCCCAGCTGTAGGAGATCCTGAAGGTCTCACTGAAGACCCCCTTCTTCTTCAACATGGAGGCTTTGCTGAATAGGCTGGTCTCAGAGACCGGGAGGTCCTGCTCCTGCATGAACAGAACCCAGGCCACCATCTGCTCCGCCCCGCCGCCGTGGACCTCTTGGACCCTCTGATCCTGTAGCTCCTGACGTCTCCTAGCCTCCTGCAGCCAGGACCTGATGAGCTGGGCTCTGGTAGAGAAGACCCTGGAGGCCCGGCGGAGTCCCTCACACAGAGCAAACAAGACCACCCTGAGCTGCCAGGCCGACAGGAAGTCCTCTTTAGAAACTGAACTCTGGGGGGCTGATGAGACGGGCTCTGTGGTTTCTGACTGGACCCGGGACACGAGATCCAGATCGCAGAGTTCCTCTTCTTTAATGGACTCGTTTTCAGCAAAGTCCTCCAGATCATCCAATTTGTCTTCATCAGAGAAGTCCAGGTCCTCCACAGGAGCCATGGCCTCGTCCATGTTGTCCACAAGCTCGTCCACCTCCACGGCACCGCTGAAGGAAAGACACAAATTTCAAAATAAAGTCAGGATTTCACAATAAAGGTTCTACTTCACCCCTACTGACCGCCAGAGGCGGTGCTTCAAGCACTGAATGATCATTCTTGCGTAGGTTGAGAATTAATACCAACAAAGTCACCTGTGACCTGCTGGTGACCCACATGACTCTATAGTCACGTGACATCCGGCGCTCAATCCGTTTGTTCTTCTCGCGCGCAGGTACTACGTACAGGTGGTTGTTCTAAGCTAAACAAGCTTTTACGGTTACCACTACTATTTTCGTTATTGCTTGATGCCAGAAGCCTCGTGACCGTTTACGGTCGGAGCTGTGGGTGGGTCCGCCCTCCAGGGGCTACACAAGCTACTTTTACCAGGTAGTGGCTGTTGATAGGAGCTACGATTGGTAAGTTTGTTTGTTTTCTTCTCAACTACAGTTGTTTACTGTTCGCTTTAAGTTGCCACACATTGTTTGATTTCTTAGTATTGTGGCTTACTGAATCCGCGGAAGCGTTTTCAGCTCGTTTTGAGTCTTTTTTATTTACTCTCGAGGAGTTGTGGATACAGTCACCAGTAGCGTTTTTCTGCTCGAGTGACCTTTTCTGTTACTTTTGGTCGCAGTTATTGTAGCAGCATGATGCTGGATAATTTATGTTGTGCGACCTGTCTGGCTCCGCTCCAGCCTGACGATGGACCTGATTTATGTCCTTCCTGCCTAGGTGTAGAACACCTTAGAGAGGCGTTGACGGATAACGTGTGCCCTAATTGTAGCGTTATGCCACGAGCAGTCAGGCTGGAATGGTTGGCTGTGCTGCAGCAACCGACTGACTGGGGCACGGAGCAGCAGACCCCATTGATACCAGAACAGACGACATGCTTGAAGCGGTCGACTGTCACAGCTGCTGAGGTCCCAGCGAAGCGAGCCAGACAAACTGACACTCAAAGGTTGTCCACGGAGATGGTTCAACTTAAATCTGAACTGGCCCAAATGAAGGCCCTCCTCCAATCTTTCCAAACTGGTGGTGGCAGTGTGGTTTCCCCTTCTGAGCCAGAGAGTGGTCCAGGATGAAGACATCATCTCAGCAGCAGCCTCAGGTACACAATTCCAGGTGGACCATCCTGAGTTGTGATCCAAGGCGTCTGGTTCAGAGTCCAATGCGTCCCAGGGGGACTCAGGGGAGTCAGTGATGACTACAATTAGGACAGCTCTTGCTCGTTTGCAGCTAGATGTCCCACAGGTTCATCCCACTGCTTCAAGTGCCTTTTTTCGGCGCCGTAATTCAGACGTGACTTTCATGGTCCCTCCTTCAGAGAAGTATGTAAGGGAACTGCATGCCTGTTGGGCAGACGCTAAAGCATTTTCACGTCCAACATCAGACAGTAGAGCCCTGGCTGCCATGCAGGAGGCACCTAAGTTTGGATTGGGGCAGATGCCTGCTATGGAACCAGGCATCGCCTCTTTTATTGTTCCACTTGACGAGGCCTTGAGATCTAATGTCCATGACCACAATGTCGTCTTACTGACGACCTGCTCCATAAGGCGTATGACTCGGGAGCTCACATGGGTCGTATTGGGAACTCTCTTTCCCATTTAATGTTAGCCTTGTCCTCCTCTCTAGAGGCAGCTACAGTGGACCATTCGACCCAAGATCAGTTTGATGCGTCTCTGCAGGCGTTTGGACTTAGGACTAGGGAGCTTGGATGCACGCTCTCCACATTGGTTCAGGCTAGACACCAGCTTTGGCTGGTGCAGTCACCACTTACTGAACCTTGTAGGAGAACCCTAAGGGCCCTTCCGGTGGTGCCTGGGGAACTATTTGGTTCTGCGGTGCAGGACGCCCTGGAACGCACAGCTCAAGCCTCTCAAACAAGGCAGCAACTGGCATGGCTCCACAGACATGATCGCCAACCAGTTGGCTCCTGGGCGGTAGCTAATCTGTCTCGGAGGCCTGCACCTCCTTCTACATCTTTTATGGAGCACCAGAGCCCGGGTTCAAGACCAGTCCGCAGGCCGGCCTTGCACCAGGGGGACCGGACTAGGATCCAGACTTCTGACTCCTTTCAGGCAGCTCAACTAGGCCGCCGTCCCCACAGGCCTTCAAAAGGCCAGAGGGGCCGCAGGTGAGGCTGTATGGCCGGCAGTCGTATGTTTTACCCTGGAACAGCTTGGCAGCTGGGCTTCCCACACTCCAGATTTGTGGGTACTTTCTACCCTGTCCCGAGGGTACCGTGTTCAGTTCAGATGCCGGCCCCCAATCCCTGGCAGGCCCAGGATGACGGTCATCTGTGACCCAGTGAAGGCGCAGGCACTGAATCAGGAAATCTGCACCTTGCTGGACAAGGGAGCTTTAGTGCCGGTGGACCCCCTGCAGGATCCAGGGGGCTTTTATTCAAAGTACTTTCTTATACCAAAGAAAACTGTCATCCAGTCTTGGATCTCAGGGGCCTCAGTACATATCTGAAGGTCATTCCGTTCCACATGCTAACCACCAAAGAAGTGTTGCAAGCGATCTGTCCAGGCGACTGGTTCACGTCCATCTACCTCACAGATACTTATTTTCATGTCCCAATTGCACCATGTCACTGGCGGTTTCTTCGTTTCGCTTTCCAAGGGAGGCACTTTTCAATTCAGGGTCCTGCCGTTTGGCCTTTCGCTGTCCCCCAGGGTGTTCACCTGGTGTGTTACAGCAGCCCTCTTACCCTTGCAGCTACAAGGGATAAGGATTCTTCTGTACCTAAACGATTGGCTCATTTGTGCAGCCACTCACTATCAGGCCCTTCGGGACACTCAGATGTGGCTAGAGCATGTGGAACGCCTGGGTCTACATGTGAACGTACAAAAGAGCAGTTTGGTTCCTGCACAGGAAACAGAATTCTTAGGCATTGCCCTAAGTTCTGTCTCAATGACTGCGTGCCCGTCGCCTCAGAGGGTCAAAAGCATTTTACACATGCTTCAGGAATACAGACACGGCAAAGCCCCACCTTTTGTTCGGTATCTTCGTCTGCTAGGCAGGCTCACGACTGCATCCAGCATGGTGCCCTTAGGGCTGCTGTCTTCGCGCCCCCTTTAGAGGTGGCTGAAC